GAAAACTCGAGTAGACTCGTACGTCCGGGGCGCATTGAGGTCTCGACGAACATGTCCCTGAACGGTTGGAGGAACTTCGCGAACAGTCCCTTTTGTTCGTTCCCCAGCTTGGCCTGCTCCAAGTCGACTTTTACCCTCCTTGAGTACTCGATCCAGTCCGGGTGAGTAGTACTAGAGGCGCTAATGACAGAGTGTACCCATTGGTCTTGTCCTTCCCGGTCCATTGCCTGTGTCTCGTCCGACAGCGCAGCCTCGCGTTTAATGCTCGCAGTATTTCCTAGTTGACTAAAACGACGGTTGGTCGAAAACGCGGAACCGTCGAAGAAGTTATCTCTTGCCGAATTGAGTGTCCTACTCGACATTCACGAAGAGAAACTAGCGAGGTCTCGAGATTCTTCCCCGGGTCGACTATGTACTCAAGAATACTTGCTAGAGCGGCTCCAAAGGACGCTGGCCTCGTCCGGTGAAGCGAAACGCGCCAACCGTAACTTCAAAGAGGAATCGTCAGTCCTGATCAGCTCAGTGACATCGGGCGACTCGGATTATCGAGACGAAGGAGGCGGGACTTCGACGAAGAGGTCCTCGTGGCATTATGTGCATAAGAAGATTGCACACTTCCCGGGGTTGAAGATACCTCCTCCGCCAGGATAAGTGTGTCCCGTGGACCACTCCGAAGTGGAAGATAACATCGCGCTGGCTCTGGAAGGTTCTCCAGAGAGATCCTCTGACATCAGTCGAGCCGAGTACGGTTTGCTGGTCTCTCGAGGAATCGTACCTGACCCTTGGCGTGCCGTGGTAAGGCGAGCAGTATACTTCCTCGTGAAGACCGAAGCTTCAAGCAGAGGCGGCTGGTGTAAAGGATGTATTGGCGAAAGATCACCGGAATATGAGTCAAAGGACGCCTCTCCGCCCTTCTCTGATCTCCAAGACCTCCTAAGTAGGTCCTAAGAACTACTTGAGCGTCTTGTGGTTCCCTCCGACTCGCAGTTAAAAGCGTTGCTGACTAAGAAGATCTCGGACCTCTACGAGAAGAGCGCGGATCGACTAATCTTAAAGATCCTGGAGAGAAATTCACCTTGTCGACTCTGTCGTTGGGAGGGCCCTGATCTTAAGCACTCTCCTAAACTGAAGCAACTCAGTTTCGACTGCTCCTCTCTGTATAACGACCGTACTGAAACTCTCGGCTCGAGCTGTTCCTCCCGAGATACTGAGAACGGGTTGTACGGCTATGTTAACGTTGTCGCGGACGCCCCTGAGCCCTGCCACACGCCGGGCCTGGTGAAAGTACCGAGTGCTGCTAAGAGCTGGTCGGCTGAAGAGAAAGACGGGGTCGTCCTACTCGGCAAGCGGGTGATCGGATCGGTGGGAGGCGTGGTCATTTGCGATCCCACTGGTAGACGAAACTCGAGCCCCTGAGCCTAAGTAGGGACTCGAGCGGTAGGAGCTGTGGCTTAGGTGTGAGCACTCTGAGGTGCGGGAACCAATACTACTGGAGCGTTCCCTACTCCACCTTGAATGCCACCAGTATGCTGAAGACCCAACGAGGAGCGTTAGTGGTTCCCGGAGTAACACTCGCAGGGGAAGTGCGCCCGATGCTCTCAGGGACAGTCGGTAGATAGAGAACGGGTTGAAATCTTGCTCATACGCTGTAGTCGGGGTCCGGATAGTGAGTCCTTGGTAAGACGGGATCGTAGACCTCGCCCGAGTCGTTAGCGGGGGAGTCCCGAAGTGACCGCTCCCATCGGTTATCTCCATAGCCACCGCTATCTCAGGGGGAGCCACAGATCGCAACCAGTTGAGGGAGTTGAACCAGCCTTGCACCGTACCTCGACCGACTCCGCCGTTCAGGGCTAGCATCGGGCCAATTATTCCGTAGTGATGGTCGTGGGGACCCCGTCCACGGGTGGCATGACACCAGTACCCGAACTGTTCCCTTCAAGCCGATTGGCGGCTTGGTCAACGATGCTCGGCAAGTTTTGGAGGCCTTGCGTAGTTGCCAGACTGGGTCGCGTCCTTGAAGGTAGACTCCCAGTCTGACCTTCCCCATCTCTGTACGTGTCGCCCATGTCGTCTCCGGTGTTTGTAGACGCCGTCTCGGCCGTGTGGTAGCTTCCTTCTTACGTCCTTAGCAAGTCTTCACTTGAATTGATACCTTCGCCAGCAAGCAGACTACCCTACGCCTCCACCAGATGTCGTATACCTCCTCCTTCAAGGGTCGGGTAGTTCGCGGCTGTTCAGGGAGTACGGTCTCGTTCAGTGGCCGGAACGGAAGACATGAACACTTAAAATGAATATAAGCCTGTTTATTGACTTGGCTTCCTCTTGAGTAGAAGGAGGGATATATAAGACTGATAGCTAACCGGAAGAGAGTTCTAACATCTTCCCTTCCTCACATACACTACACCACTTCTCTTACACTTGAACGAAGAGTTCACTTCACCTACCGTCCGCCCTCGTGGGACAACAGGGAGTTCTGGGAAGGGACCCGATGGCGCTAGGTGCCTTAGTCCCACGTTGAACGAGCATCAGCTGTCCCGGGCCACCCTATTGAGTCAGTCCAACGGGTTCGGCCAGGGGAGCGCGAGTCGTCGAGTTCAACGGGAGCCATCCTGACGGGACGGCCGGACGAGGAGTAGCTACAGGACCTTGGGTCATCCCGTCGGGACGCATCGCTCCTGGAATGGCCCCCTCCCTCCCGGGTACGGGACAGTTTTCGGGAAAGTGTATCGAAAACGCCTTATTAAAAGTCTTACTGAGACTTACGGCGTAGCCTTGTTACTATTATAGGTGCTGGTAGTAATAGGTTTGACTCATGGATGGGCAAGTTCATTTTCAAATAGTCAATGGCTTACCCTAGACGCCGTTCCTTTCGCCAATTGGAACGTTGCTTACTTGGAGTACCGACATTCCTCTGTCAAACCCAAAATAAAGCTAATTTAAACTGCCGTTCTGCGGAATCAAAATAAACATACCGGTAATGTCAAAACACACGTGTAGAAACGCCGATCTACCGGCTCTGGGAATCCCAGTGGGATATTATAATAGCAAGCATTTTATTCACTGTTGTGTTTGTAGGCAACCAGATACGGCTACAATCACAAATCTTGATGCTAAAAATGATCTGCATAGTGAAAACAAGATGAAACTGGTTGTCAATTATCCGGCAAGCGAAGAGACTTGCATCATGTGAGTAAGGGTCCTGTAGCTACCTTTTCAGTACCACCAAAACCGCGGTGCTTTAAATGTGAACATCGTATATCTGTTTTCGTACACTACTCGTACAATTCGGACATTGGAAATCAAGTGATACCACTAACCATTAAAGTATGAGAGAAACTAGCCTAATGCCACTTGACGCATTCAGCTACGTGCAGTAGGTGAAGCTACTGAGTCTACCGACATTTCTTTATCAAAGGGCGCGTTGATTACTAAATGACAATAAAGGGGGCAGGTGATTTTTTATACAGGAGCATAGGAGGTACATACATTAAAGTTCAATCTACAACAAATTCATTCTACCATAATATGTATATTATACAGTACTCAGTAGCATCACCTACTGCATGTCTCACAACATCTGAAGGCGTCAAGTAGCACAAGGCTGGTTTCTCTCGTACTTTAATAGCTAGTTTATTACCAGAGATTCAGGTTCCGAATTGTACGAGTACTGTACGAAACCACATTCACGATGTTCACATTTTATAGCACCACGTTTTTGGTGGTGCCGAAAAGGCAGCTACAGTACCTCCACAGTGGAGGCTAAGAGGCTTGCTTCATGTGAGTGGAGTCCACTCACATGATGCAAGTCTCTTAGCTAGCTGGGCCAGTTTCATCTTGTTTTCACTAATGAGACCACTTTTTAACATCAAGATTTGTCGTTGTTGTTGCATACAAACACCAAGTAAATGAATAATTTGCCAACATCCCAGAATCTGAAGAGCCGGTAGATCAGCGTTTCTGCACGTGTGCCCTTTGACTCAAAGGCTTTGAGAAACGATTATCCTGATCTCGGATTTCTGTGGTTTCATTGGGTAGGTGTGCCCGCTGAGATAGGATTGTCGGTAATGCTGTCAATACAGATACTGTACAATGTACAGTACTGTACATGGTATCCATGGTATCCTGGATAGAAAGCCTTGATACATGTACCGCTATTTGCATGTAAATTGAAATTTTATGTGTGTACCTCCTATGCTTCCCTATTTCAAATCAGTTTGTCATTAAGTAATCAATGCGCACTTTGAAAAAAGGATTGTCGGTTGGTAACCGACAATTACTCCAACGCCGAGAAGAAGTGCTTCAAACCCAGGCAGGATCAGTGCGAGGTTCTGGTCTTTAAATCGATAAAGATCTACCAAACGGAATAAAAACATTTCAAAAAGGGTCCATTGGCACTCTGCTGCAGAAAAATAGAGCAAAAACGTTTTGGAAAAGGTCCATTGACCCTCTGCTGCAGAGTCTGCAATCCATGCTCCAGGCTGACACATCGTTGGAGGAAGTCTGGATAATTTTCCGGCGCATCGCCTTTTCCAAGGATTTGCGTATCGTTTATGGAAAACCTCTTCGACTGCCATGGCTTTGTTAAACTCATGGGAATCGTGATTCGAGCCCATATCTATTATTATTCGAGCTATATCGCAGCTTACGACATAGTAAATTAGTCATGTTGTAGCTTACGACGTTGGGATTCAAGGGGTTTAAAAAGAAGTCGACCGTTACAAAAGAAACATTTTCATAAAAATTGTGTTGGCCCCAGTACTGTACTGTAGTGGTGCCAACACAATTTGAAAAAAAGCCGGATGAAAAAGATAGTACTGGGCCAGTACTATCATTTTTTCATCCGGCTCTTCACATGTTTGCGTTGATCAGAATTCTTTTTACCAGGTAAAAAGTGTAAAGTATCCTAGCATTTTTATATAGCAATGGAACTCTTTACTACTGCCACATGGCAGTAATCAGTCTCACTTTTGCTTTTGTTTTCAATCGCACAATTGTGAAAGATGTCCAAGCTACAATCACCAATTTCCACTCCGCAGTTGACGTCGTCTGTTACGGGCTACGTTAGTACCAATCTTTGGGACGAGCGATCTGCTCGGTATGCTTCCAACGTCCTCAGACATGTGTGTCTCTTCCTACTGATCCTAACAGCATGCGAAGAAGTCACTAGTTGGGCCATCAGCCAGTCGCTCAAGAACTTTTTACAAAAGTTGGGCTGGTCCAACACAGGATCTACTTCCATGAAGCTCACGTACGACTCCTTCGGTCAGTTCATGTGTATCGTCGCTGGTTACATTGCTGACGAACGCCTGGGAAAGTTTAAAACACTGCTGTCAGCCGCCACACTGGACTCGTTCGGTGTCCTCTTCCTTGTGACCGCCGCTCTACCGGTGGTTTTGCAAAATCATCTTGTAGTGAGCAAAATCATCTTCAACATCGGGTTATTCTTTGGAGTTGCCGTCTCGCAGATCTGTCTACGATCGCTAGTCATCTCATACGGAGGCGACCAGTTCTCGCCTGCCGCTCCTCCCTCGGAGAAGGCGATGTTCTTTAGTATCCAGTATTGGACTGCTAACATCGGATCATTCATCGGTTACGCGGTGTTCCCGTCCGTGTCAATCCACGGCATTGGTGCCATCCCTGCCAGCTACGGATACGTCACTGTTTACCTTGTGGCGCTCATGTTGTTGGAGATTTTTGTGGTGGCGCTCATCATGTTGGTGATTTTTGTGGTGTTGCTCTGGTCCACACGCAAACGCTACGTCAACGTACCGCCAACGAAGCAATCGGTCGCTCTCGTGATCAAAATCGTGTTCAATCAAGCCCACAAGAGCTTCCACGCTAAAATGGTTGTTCTCGGGACGGTTCTGTACATTACCGCTTCCCTACTTAACATCCTGGCGTCGATTCTAGCGGACCAAGGTGAAGTTGGACACAACGTGTCGTATGCTTGCGGTGTGATGATTGTTAGCGCAACAATATTGTGGATTTATTTCGGAAAGAGCTCGGAGTTTATGGAGTCGGCTAAGGACAGTGCGGGTGGCCAATTCGATTCCGAGCTTGTGGATGGGGTCAAACAAGTCATCCGTATCCTACCATTCAACGCTTTTAACGTATTCTGGTGGGTGTGTATGAACCAGCGTGGTAACAACCAGTCGATCGTACAGCAAACAGATTCTCGTCTTGGAAGTGGCCCATTCTCGTCTCAAATGCCCGGCCGTACCGCTCAAATGTTCAACCCCATTGGTGTCTTGTTCTTCGTTCCTCTCACGGAGAAGATTGTGTACCCGCTGTACGAAAAGTACGCAGGAAGGCCTGCTAGTCGGTACGGTAAAATTCTAGCTGGGTATTGCATAGCTGTTGTGCTATGTGCTGGACGGGTTGCTACGAGATTATACGTCGCGGCACTTCTTCGCTCACTTATGCTGACTCAAATGGCGTTACGCAGTTCATGATCAATGAAGACGGCAATCAGGTGATGAACGACATCCCGTGGTGGACGGCTGTCCCCCATTACTTGCTGGTGGCGCTTGCTGCTGTCATGATTACCATCCCTTCGTATGATGTTAACTATTCCGAAGTACCGCAGAGTATGCGCAGTACCTCCATCGCTCTCGGATTCTTTGTGAATTCAATGGGTAGCACATTACTCTCTGTTATCGTGCTGCTCTTTGGCAAGTACATTCCGGCCGACCTGAACAATGGGCACATCGAGTACATGTTTTTCACGCTGGCTGCCATTATGGCTGTCAACATCTTCTTCTACGTCATTGTTATGAACAACATGCGATTGGGGATGATTCCTCGAGTGGAGAACACCGTATATGAAGGTTGCATAATTTTTGCAATAACGTTAGATATTTTGGCTTTGGTTTGGAATCAAATCTAGTTTGATTCTGTTTACAGTTTAAAAGTTCAGGAATAACCTTTACACGCAAATCTGTCGAATTAGCGGTCTTACCTCGCAGACTTAGTTTGCCCATCTCGGCTGCGGTAATAATAGAAATTCCCGGCGAGTCATCCTATAAGAAAATAGGATATTTTTCGGGCTCTTTTCAGTAGTCTATACTACTTCTAAGTAATTCCAAAAAAGCCCTTCACTTTTAGTCGAATTTTGGGAAATGCGCATATTTTCTTACCCGAAGGCCTACAGACAGCGACACAAAAAGCCGGCGTACACAAAACACGGAAAAATGAAAGCGCCCCATAGTAAATATTGACCAATCAAAAAGTAGTTAAGTTATATGATGACCATCCAATAAATTGAGCTAAAATTCGGTTGGAAGCCAGCAATTCGAGGGTGAAGCCGCGCTGCACGATCACTTTCTAAACCTACGATGGGGACGAAGAAGCAGCGCGGCTACCCAATCAAATAGAAGCTGGCGGCAGTCGACCTCATTGAGAGGATTGTGCTCACTGCCGCCGTTGAAAAGCTGGGCCACCCGCACGGCACGGTGCATGGGTGGTGGGTCGGTATGGCCAAGCTGCGCGTCTACGAGGGGAACAAGTTGGACAAGACGACCAAAGGGCAGAGACGTAAGGAAAGCTTTCCATTTACCTCTGCCCTTTTGACGTACATGAAAGACGTACGCCGCGACGAAGAAGTGAGTTATTTAAATTTTATAGTATTTTAATATTACCTTCTCTTACTGTTTAACTCTTGTAGTTTCTTACTACATCAGGAATGATTGCGTTTATTCAAGAGAGCTACCCTGACTGGATAGAGGCCTACGCGGAGAACAAGAAGTCTGACGTGAGTTGCAGACGGGCCCTTGAACGTCTACTGCAGTGAACCGCCGACCGGTATTATCTGTAAAATATTATTACATTTTTTTTTTAACTGAGTTATTAATATTTTGTTTTTGAACATGATTTTAGTTACGGAAACTCAAAAAGCCCAAGAAACCAAGCTCCCAAGTGCAGCGCTTAAAAACGGATTTTGCAATTGAATTTTGGAGTAAGTACGGCTCATACTCTCTACCGGAAATCTACAACATGGATGAAACGGCCATCCAGTTCGACATGCCGCCAGCAAGAACATGGGCAATTAAAGGGCGAAAAGGATTAGCTAAAATCCAAAATCTAACAAAACACTGCCGGCTGTCTTGACAGTTCGCGCTGATGGTCAGTTTTATTTTTTTTCTTTCCTTGCGCTAATTATAAGTTTTATATGATTTTTTTTACTTTTGTTTACTAAAAATGTTTGTTTTTAGAAAAAAAACTTCCGATTCTCTTCATACTGCGCGGCAAACGTGGCGGACTTATTGATTTCAACGAGTTAAGCACGCTGCCAAGTGGTCACGTTTACACAGTACAAGAGTTTGGCTGGATGGATACAGTCGGCTGGGAGTTTTATGTAGAAAACATTTTAAAATATGAAATTGACTCCTCTTAGCGGACAATTTTTATTGTCACGTTTCAGAGGAGGGTATGCGTGTGGTTGCCGAACAGGCATGCACTACAGTTCTCCCATTACCCGCTAAAGCTACATCGGTTTGTCAACCGCTTGATGTAGGGGTAATGGGACCTCTAAAGTCTCGAATTCGGGGTAAATTACTACCCAAAAAAGGCCTTACGGCTGCTGAAAAACGTCTTCGAGCCATACAAGCTACAATTGCAGCTTGGGAAAGTTTTGCCAACGAGCACGTAATTCGTAGCTTTAAATCAGCAACTCCGTGCTATGAGTGGACAACGGTTTAATAAACAAGCGTAGCTAAACTTTTTATTCCATACCCTCAGTTTTATTCATCCAATCAAAATATGTTTTGCTAGTCGTCCGAGTTTTTGTGTCGCAGATTTTACCATTGGAATTGTGCTTATCAACTCCGGCTTTTTGTGTCGTTGTCTGTAACGATTTACTACGTATTGGCGATATTAGTGTCCTGTACGGAGAGCTAAATTATTAATTCGCGAGTGCGTGGATCATGCTACAGTAAACGCTCTCCATTCCGGTACTGCTGTAACCTAATAACCTGACCCAAATGATCGTATCGTTTTAAAGAGGAAGAAGATCGGGAACTATTCCACACCAGCCATCGCACAGTTGCGGTGCACCAGTCATTCCGTAACCTCGGGCATCAGCAGCGCAGAAGTCGAAGAGCGCCATTCGCTTAGTTGCCACTGACGAGCCATGGGGAGGTGGCTCACAAATTAACAGAAGAAGGCCATGATCAAGAAGGCCAGGGAGAGCCCAGCGATGACACAAGAGGAACTAGCAGCGTGGGCAAAAGTAATGTAAATTTAAGACCAGACGACGGTCTCCGACATCTTGAAGAAGGCTGACACGATCCTGTCTGATGACAGCGACGGCAACAGGTGCAGGCCCCTGAGCGTGACGTCACCAGCTCTGGAGAACCAGCTTTGGGAGTGGATTCAGACAGTCGAAGCTCAAAGCGTGTGCCTCTCACGTGCGCTGATTAAGCTGAAGGCTCGCGATATCCAGAAGGGCCTGTGTGACGCGTGGGAGATGGCGTTCTCGGACGGCTGGCTCGCCGCATTCGAGCGGCGGCATGGGCTGCGTAGTCGGCAGCGACCTGGCGAAGCTGGTTCAGCCGATCATGTAGCTGTTGCGGCTGGGCGCCAACGACTGCAAGCAATAACAGATCTCTACAGTCCCCAAGATATTTACAACATGGATGAAACCGGATTGTGCTACGCGATGGCCCCTGTCCGCTCAATCTGCACTAAGTCCGCCCGTGGAGTGAAGAAGGACAAGACGCGGATTACGTTCGCGCTGACAGCAAACGCTGACGGCACGAACTTGCTGCCTCCGCTGTTTCTGGGACGGGCGAAGAAGCCCTATTGCTTTCAAAAGAAATTTGCAGAGGAGTTGGGTTTTTACTATCGGGCGAACGAGAAGGCGTGGATGAATGGTCATGTGTTTCGTGAGTGGCTCAGAGGTCTCGATCGAGATATGCGGGCCAGTGGTCGCTTCATTCTGTTGCTCTTAGATAACGCCTCATCCCACTACACTGGCAATCTGGTCTGTACTAATGTTCGGGTAGAATTTCTGCCACCTAACACTACTGCCTTTTTACAGCCGATGGACGCTGGAATCATCGCGGCGTTCAAGGTTGCGTACCGACAGAAACAGCTTGAGTGGGTCTACAACAAGATAAAGCACGGTGATAAAATTGACAAAAAGGCGTACAAGGTTGACCAGCTTGCGGCAATGCAGTGGAGCAAGGCTATTTGGCTTGACCTGCGGGAGAAGCAGACAGTCCAGAACTGCTTTCGCCATACAGGTGTATTCTGTATAACGCAGTCGATGATATGAGCAAGGACAGTATATCTTCCAGCTACGACGACCTCGAAGATGTAGAGAATCTTATAACCCGCGCTTCCCAGATAAGTCTGTAGACTCCTTAAAACAATTTCAAATCTGGAGATAGGGTCGGACCACGATACCGGAATGGAGAGCGTTTGCTGTACTCGTTAACTGTTGGGTGGCAATTTCTTTGTGCAAGCGACTGACTAAAGGATTGGGCCGGTAGTGCTTGGCGATTAAATGTTCAATTCGGTAGAGTAATACAGCATGACGTTATTAGTTGTGTATTTAAAATGGCAGATCGCTAGTTCTCAATTAATGTTGGACGCTTAGCTCCCGTAACATAAATGATAGAGGTAACCGGGCGGCCGCCGGGGGAGGTAATCCGACAGCCGTTGGTGATTCATATGATGGAGCCTATTATAACGGATATAAATTGTGTATTTTGTATTTTAAAAATAAAACCGATCGTCAGTCCCCGGTTGATGCTGGACGCTCAGCTCGCGTAACATGAAATTGTTGGGCCTTTAATTGCAAAGTCACGCCACGTTTTTCCTTACATTACCGATACAGGATTGGTCTTCCCTCAAAATGTTGTATTACTCTACCAAAATAAACATTTACCTCCAAGCGCTATACCACCCCAATCCTCTAGTAATACAATAAAGTATTAAAAATTGATACCACCCATTTTATTCTGTGGTCGCAGTGCGACTCGCACATTATTGTAGTGCATGCAGCACCTGTACCAGATGACACAGCGGCAAAAGCAAGTCACAAGTCACCGCGTCACAAGTCACAAAAGCAAGTCACAAGTCACCGCGTCACAAGTCACACCTGTCACCCCGTCCCAACAGCGACATCCATCCCAGCCGCCCCTGCAGCGTAAATCCCAGTCTCCAATCGACAGCGACGGGTTAGGTGGACAGGGGGGGAAGCAGTGTAGTGATTGCGATGCAAAGGGTCTGACCGACTAACTCTGAATGACACCTCACAATTTACCTTTTTGAGCTCACTTGCCATAAAGTATACTTTGGCTTTCAAGAACTGACGATGGGTTCAACAGGGAGGTTGACCAAGATGGAGACGTCGAGATGCGGTCTACACAGCCGGTATTCGAGTACATCAAGCCTCCGCGATTAACAGACCTGGGCCAACCAGCACTGGTCAAATTTATGCGCGATCGTC